GTAAGAGCAATCAACTATTTGTCTCATGGGCTGACTCTTACATCAACGCAACAATCTCCCGTCAATGCCTTTACCACTGGATGGTGGAGGCTATCGTGTTATGTTACAGCAATGCGAATATAGAGCCCCCAATAGGATTACGAGCACACTCTACTATAGGTATGGCTACATCCTGGGCTCTGTTTAGAGGCATTTCTATTCAAGAAATTTGCGCGGCATCCAGCTGGTCTTCTCCGCACACATTTGCTCGTTTCTATAGACTGGATGTGACAGAACCCTCTCTTGCCCACTCAGTCCTGGGAGTGAGTAGTCAGGGTGAATAATGCAAGTTATTAAGGGGCGAATTCCTCATATTATTCTGTTTTCACCTCCGTCGGGAGTTATGACTCCGATAACAACCTACTCTTTCTTTAGTCTGCTTCGTCAGCATATCGGCAATACGGGAGTAGTCTATTTCCCATAGTGAGATACCGAACGAATGTTAGAAAGAGAACGTTAGGTTACTGACATAACCCCGGTTCTCTGATAACATGAAGTGAGGTATCTCACAAACATTGCCCTCCTTGCCTTTACTGCACGGAGAAGAGATATGTGGAGTATGACAAAACGGCAGGTAGCTGCGGTTTATATTCAGGGAGGCGGGACTCCCTGATCGGTGCAGCGATTGGTCTGCCATAGTTGGCAGACGTGGTGTTATTGGTGCTTCCGCGATCGGTCACGCTTGAGGCGTTCCTATAGTGAGATACCTCACTTCATGTTATCAGAGAACCAGGGTTACGTCAGTAAACTAATGGTTCTATTTGCTTTTGTCACATCGCGCCGCTCGAGTCTGGTGTAGACACGTTGTTTTGGTATTTGTGAATCTTTAGTATATTCATCATCTGCTTTACGTTTACCTGGCACTGGAAGTCCTTTCACAAACTTGTAACTTTCATGCTTAGAGCAGAACCACATCGTTCATTTATATTTCTACATGGCTCCCTGCAATACAACTCTGATTCTTCAATCGCGCCATCTAGTGGTCTCCCCAGAGGAGGAGAGGTTACACAGTTTATGTTCAGTTCATGCTCTGTATACGTATGTTCAGAGAACCCACACACTTCGTAAGAGCAATCAACTATTTGTCTCATGGGCTGACTCTTACATCAACGCAACAATCTCCCGTCAATGCCTTTACCACTGGATGGTGGAGGCTATCGTGTTATGTTACAGCAATGCGAATATAGAGCCCCCAATAGGATTACGAGCACACTCTACTATAGGTATGGCTACATCCTGGGCTCTGTTTAGAGGCATTTCTATTCAAGAAATTTGCGCGGCATCCAGCTGGTCTTCTCCGCACACATTTGCTCGTTTCTATAGACTGGATGTGACAGAACCCTCTCTTGCCCACTCAGTCCTGGGAGTGAGTAGTCAGGGTGAATAATGCAAGTTATTAAGGGGCGAATTCCTCATATTATTCTGTTTTCACCTCCGTCGGGAGTTATGACTCCGATAACAACCTACTCTTTCTTTAGTCTGCTTCGTCAGCATATCGGCAATACGGGAGTAGTCTATTTCCCATAGTGAGATACCGAACGAATGTTAGAAAGAGAACGTTAGGTTACTGACATAACCCCGGTTCTCTGATAACATGAAGTGAGGTATCTCACAAACATTGCCCTCCTTGCCTTTACTGCACGGAGAAGAGATATGTGGAGTATGACAAAACGGCAGGTAGCTGCGGTTTATATTCAGGGAGGCGGGACTCCCTGATCGGTGCAGCGATTGGTCTGCCATAGTTGGCAGACGTGGTGTTATTGGTGCTTCCGCGATCGGTCACGCTTGAGGCGTTCCTATAGTGAGATACCTCACTTCATGTTATCAGAGAACCAGGGTTACGTCAGTAAACTAATGGTTCTATTTGCTTTTGTCACATCGCGCCGCTCGAGTCTGGTGTAGACACGTTGTTTTGGTATTTGTGAATCTTTAGTATATTCATCATCTGCTTTACGTTTACCTGGCACTGGAAGTCCTTTCACAAACTTGTAACTTTCATGCTTAGAGCAGAACCACATCGTTCATTTATATTTCTACATGGCTCCCTGCAATACAACTCTGATTCTTCAATCGCGCCATCTAGTGGTCTGTTATTGATATAACCACAACTGCTACAACTGATAACGGAGCACTCAAGCAGGTACTGAGAGTCATGTTAAGGTAATTAAAATATGTCAAATTATTATCAAAATATTTTGCGCTCAATTATTTACTTATCAGGCAAGTGGCCGCATGATAAGCGGAAAAATTACGCAGTGTAGTCTTTATCACCCTGCAGAGGTTTCTTTTGCAAAATAATCTGCTGACTGTACACTATCCCTTGCCCCCTGGTTTGGGAACCACTGGAGTAGGCGATTAGCACTCTATTAATTTGGTCTGTTACGATGCTCTATGTCAGGGTTCCTCAATAGGCGGCAATAGGAGAGAAAAATGTTTGGCCTGAGCTAATTTCAAATAATGTGGCATGAAAATTCAAATGCAGCATCAGAAAGCGACATTAATTTACATCGTGTCTACACCGATGTAAGTTAATGCAACAAAATACAATAGAACTCAACTTATTATAATCAGTGATGCTGTCTACACTGGATGCGGCGCAACAAATCCCCCACAGAAAACTGCTGACTCGTTCTATTTATGACGTGCTGACACAAAGTTCAAATGATTTGCAATGCTTTGTCGCATCCAGTGTATATATATGACGTGACAGCAAAAACATGGCAAGTGTGAAGTAAAGAAAAGTGGACACTGAAAATAGATGATTCAAATGTGAATGGACTGAACAGTTTTGAGTGAGTGAGTGAGTCATACCATCTTTGTTATGGATGTTGGTTCGCAGCGAGTTCACAGTTTTAATGTAAGTTTGCTTTAGCCTAATTTATTTTCAAGATCTGAGGTAAAATATCTATTTTTACTTTCACTATGGCTATAAAGATCACGCAAAATAATATTCAAACTCACATTAGACACTTTTAACACTGAATAAAGCACATAATCATTACCTGAGATTATCACTGTCATATTTTGTATGTTGTTTCTCCTGCGATTTCTAAAATAGAATTCAGTGTCGCTTATTGTCACGTGTTGCTGTCGTGGGTGGTTAGGACAAAAACTACATGGAAAAGATACTTTTTATCACGTCGCATCACGTCTGGTTGGGACACATGGTGTTACAGTTTGATCCCCCCAAAAAAATCTAAGTATAAAAATATTAATACTGACAGATCTAATAATTGAATCTGCAATTAGGGAAAGTGGAGAGAAGAGATCCAGTCTGGAGATGAGCAGGAACAGTTGATTTGCATGGCAGACATGGAAATCCAGATTTTTTGTTTGTTCATTTGTTTTTAATATTCAACAGGCAAAGTTCTTCTGTATCTAAATGCAAAAATTTTCATAATTGTTTGAATAAAACAGACTACTGGGGGGAAAAATCTGAATATTTATCTTGAGACCATCTTTTGATTATTTTAACAAAAGCAACAATAATATAATAGTAATAATAATAATTTGTAATATAATATAAATATAAATATAAAATAATAATAATAAAATAAAAAATATATATACTAATGCCTGTGTAGTACGGCGTTGCACACAGAGGACAAAAACGTTCAGCCTTGTTTTAACACAATCGTTATTTGTGTTAAAATTTGCAAAGTGTACCAAATTGAACAAAACCATATAAATGCAAAATTTTAATTCATGAATATATAACGGTATCCTTGGTATAGCAAATTCCATATCATGGAACAACATAATACCAGTTATCACATTCATACCGGTATAGCGCCCACCTCTACCAGATACTCGGATTCAGTCTGACATCGGCTGATATAGTACAGCTCTATTTGTCTCCACTCTCCCTCACAATGAGAAAACCAGGTAGGGAGCATTTTTCAGATGTCTTTTTATTTTTCACAATGACAGTAATGCAGAGCATTCATCTACCCCTCCCTAGGCCCCCTGGCAAAGAACAGAGGTTACATTATTGCAGGTCTTATAATGTATCCTTTTGTGGTTATTGCCACTTATGTAGATCTAATTTGTACAATTTAAAGTCCAAAAGGTCCAAAAGAGACTATTAGTGAAAATACTTTAGATAATTTTATATTATATAACATATATTTGCATTATTTTCTATAACATGAATTTCAGAATGTCTTAGTATATGTTTGAAGCCCTTTTACTTTAACAACAGCAGCTCTCATGCTGCATAAACTAAAAAAAAAAAAGTTTGTGTAAAACCTGATGATCATGTTCTCCAGCATGATTTGAGATCATCCAAAGAGCATCTTAAGCTTCAATGGTAGAACATCTACACTATATACAAAGACTTCACACGACAAGTGTCACAAACTTATTTTTTATTATTAGTGACTTATTAGTGACAAATATTTTTTTTACAATTTTTATATATATAATTTTTTGAAAGTCTCTGAATCTCACCAAGGCTGCATTTATTTATTTATTTATTTATTTTTTAATATGCCAAATTGGGGCTCAAGCAACATTTCTTACCAGTGTTGAAAACAGCTGTGCTGCTTAATATTTTTGTGGAAACTGATTAATTTTTTGACAAATAGAATTTTCAAAAGAACAATATTTATTTGAAGACATCTTTTGTAATCTTATAAATGTCTTTTGTTTGTTTTTTTGTTCCCAGCCAAGTTAAATATTTTATAAAGCCACAGTGTTGCACTCATCTTCAAACTGTTCTGTGTGTATTTTCTACGTGCAGCCTCTGTGCAGTAACAGAGGTTTAATTTTCACCCTAGAAGGAAACCTGATCCGATCAGGGGACTCCCTCCCAGAATACACCAATGACTTTGCCTACCTCATTTCAACCACAAAAGGATAAGAGGCCCAGTTACTCCTCTCCATCTCTCTTTACAGAAATTGGCTGCTTTTCCAACTAACTTTGCACTTAGCTTTCCTATTCGCCAGCGCAGTGTGTTTACCGTGTTCTGTGGAGAGGGGGTGGAGGGCTTAATGGGTCTGTCCCTGGATGAGTCATTGTAGTCAGGCGGGGGCAGCAGCACGGGCTCCTCCTCGTCTTCCTCTGGCTGCTCTGGATCAGTCACACTCTGGCTGCGCAATGGACTCTCAACTCTGCTGAACAAAATACATAAATTGATGTCATACTGTTTTGTTAATGGATGGATAAACATTGTTAGTTTCAGCAGAAATCCCATCATTTTCACTCAAATACAGACTCACCTGTTTGCGATCACTGGGTCATTGTAAGCCTGGCAATAAGATGAGGGAAACCAGCCCCGTCTGTAATTACAAACAAAAAATATCGATAATGTGTATCATGATTTTCTAATAAAATGGGTATCAGCTCAATTTCCATATGCATTAAAAGGCTTTTTGATTCAACCACGGTTTGACTATTCAAAAACCACTGTATTGGCACAAATGTAAAGTGAAACACCACGTAGTATGAAGAGTACATTTGGTTTTGGTTGCTTAGGAACTGTCACACCGCCAGCTGTGCATAACTCTGAACTGAGCCTTCAAGAATGCGTCATAATACCATAAAGGGTATTGAGGGAAAATCTTTGGACCTCTGAAATCGCAAAGCTGCTCATTAAAATATGCAAAACAAATAAGACCACACAAATCACAGATGCCTTCACAGCAGTACGATCATTTGACCTCCCGTTTGTATGTTGCTATGGATGAATGATTAAATATAAATATTAATATACAGAATACATGCACCTGTTAGCTTTAAAATGATGTTTTTGATTTATATCCCACTAGTGTCACCAAATGTAATCACAAAAACTGTCATTATCACATTGTTTTTCTTTACATTTTTGATAGTTTAACTAATCAAATTAACTGAAATTCAGCTCTTCAGTATTGATGAACAGTTTAACAAATTTAGTTGCACATAAATTACATTTATTATGTGCTGAGTTTTTATGATAAAGCAGAGCTGCACAGCATAACAGTTTTGCTCATGTTTGTTACTAATGTCTGTGTGAACCAAAAGTTGCAACCCGCTTTACTTTAGTATGTACTTCATACGTATTTCTGAGTATTGAATTAGAAAAAAAAAACAATAAAATAGAGAACGGGGTTGAATTTTAGTGCACATCTTTGCCATTTCTAGTTCACAGCAGACTGATGGTTGGAGGAGAATGGTTAGGGATGTTCCATCCAAGCCGTCAAACTGACATCAGAGGAGAAATGCCATTCCAGAGGGGAAGCAATTTTTCAGATTTTGACTAAATATTACAATTATTTTTTTTCTGTGGATGAACTTGCACCAATTAGTTCTTCACCACAAGACTAGTAATGTGTTCTAACAAACGAAATATGGTAAATTTTGATTAAATTATTTTTTTTAACTACTAAAAGCAGAAATAAAATTCAATTCATATGAACCCATGTCAACGTTTTGTTTATATGATTTAAATAGGCAGGGATTTGGTTCTATGCATTGGCTATTGATTGGATTTTGAGAGAAGTCTGTCGTGAAAGATCTTTCATTGAAAGCATTTATCTACATTTTCATTTACAAATAATTCCTTACTCAAACTCGCTCTAACAGTGCCAGCTCAAATGCCAACTCACCCCAATGGACCACACTGGAAACACATTTCCAGGTCAAGAGAACAATGTAAATATACCTTTCAGTTGGAAATAAAAGACAGCGATAAGAGGAGGACAGACACCCCTTCATCATGTCTAAATGAAGGCACCACTTTTGTTTTGTGCAATTTACAATGAATTTAGGTCCAAAAAATAAGCCAACTGCCATGCAAAGGCTTACGCAGTATGTTTGTTTCCTCTCAGTGACGTAAAGAAGCACCTCTAACATACCTGACATGTTGAACATGTCTCAAAGTTTGCAAATTAGGAAAGTAAATCAAATGAAAAGAAGCATGGAACCAGTCTTTCCAGCTCAAGAAAGCTGATGCTGCTAACATTCAAGTCAAAGGGCAGCATGGACAAGATAATGTATGACACTGCAGTGTCCTCAATGTCCCTCATGTTGTTCCAAGCCTCTAAGACTTACTTTCTTCTCCAGAACACAAAAGATGAAATTTTGAAGAATGTTTCAACTGTTTTTGTCCATATAAGTCAATGGGGTCCAAAAAACACTGGACCATAATTACTTTCATTGTATTTACAAAAAAAAAAAAATACAATGAAAGTAATATATTATAATTATATATATATATATATATATATATATATATATATTTTGAGTAGTGCTGGCCAACGATTAAAAATTTTAAATCGCATTAAATGATTAATCACATTGTTATGCACACAATTCAATAATGAATTCAAAAGTAGTGTATTGTGCACTTTTTTCATCTAAAAGTACTGCTATATGAACAAAAGTGCAATAACATTTGTTTTGCAAACACTTTAAACAAATAAGTTTCTTTTTTTACAGCAGTATTCCTTTTACATAGAAGCAGTTAAAATATTTCTTGTAAATCTCAACTTATAACATTAATGTAATCTAATTAAATATAAAACCAAAGCTATTTGACACTGCCAGGGCATTAACGTTTTTATAGAAAATATTTTATAGTTTGTCCAGAGCCTCGATCATAACATTATAACAGGCACCTTCCAACTAGAGACCTGCACTATCGCGGGACCTAACGCAGCAGCGCGACAACACTTGACGGGCGAGTGCGGGTGGGTAGAAACTCGTGTGCGGGATGCAGGAGAATAAGGGTGTATCACACTAGGCGTTTTGAACCGTGCCCGAGCGTGTCTGATCCCCAAAGCCCGGTTCGTTTGAGTAGTGTGATCGCTCCGTGCCACGGTTCATTTAGCCAGCTCTGGCTTGGTTGGAAGAGGAGGGCCAGAGCGCGGTTCACTTGGGCTCAGGCGCAGTATGCATGTAGTGTGAGCGGAGCGCGGAACTTCTGATACGTGCAGCATGATTGTGTGAACATTTCTGAGCGGCAAAAGTGATAGATCTGTAAACCAATATGTTGTGAGAGGGCCGTGTGTGTTACCGTGTTCCAAATGACTCAAAATAATAAACCACAAAGTTAACAAAACGATGCACTCCACTGTGCTGAGCGAGAGCGCTTCTCTGCTGCCTTCACGTGCTATAGGAAACTTCCCAGTTCCCACCTGTTAACTTGCCTAGCCCTAATACTGAGACATTCTTAAAGCTGCAGTACATACGTTTTGCCTCTTTGTTGCCATCTGTTTGAAAACCTGGAATTGCAGCTGTGCGCGGAATTATCTTCCTTGCGTGGGTTGTGCGGCGGCACGGCTCCAGCGCGGATGAATGTAATGTTTTGAGGAGTATGTGTGGCAGTCAGTCACCGCACCGGTGTGGATATTGTACTTTGCACTCACAGATTCTAGCCTATGTCTTAGAATATAAGACTCAAATAAGCATTTTCACTGGATATTGTCATCTGAACAAGTAACAAGTCTGCCACGTTTGTTCTGACCAACTGAGGAAAAAAGCATTACAATAAATTGTGCTACCAATGGTGATTTAATCTAAATTAAATTTAATCTCATATCACATCAAACCATGCAAATTATTATTATTGTTATACTTTATTCTCAAATTGTTAAGGTTAACAACATCAGCATTGCGTGACTATGAGTAAAGTGTGTATAAGCAAGTAGATTTCAATTTCTGTACAGTCTAATCTCGTCATACCACTCGAATTTCCTATTAAGAAATTCTTTTAACCCAAAAAGCAAATTATGCTCCCTTAGAACTGGTTGTCTTTAAAATACAAATCTTGTGTAATCCCAGGCTATCTGTGATCAGAAGCACATTTAAAACTTAATTTCATTTCATTCATATGTGTTTCATAAACACAATCCTTTCTGAATTACAATACGCCATCAAAATGATACATTTAATTATTCCAGCTGCTGTGAGAAAAGGCTATAAATGATCGGCCACCTGCAGGATCCTCAAATGTGATAGCCTAGTAGCCGGAGCAACTTCTTTATGTTTACAGAAGTGAAGTTATGAAGCAGCTGCATGCTCGAATTTCCCACGAAAACCTACCCGTACCACTCAAATTAGAAAACATTATTATAAGCTGAC